TCTCCCCGATATAGGAAGGATTCCGCACAAGATTTTGTAAATGACACCGGGGGTCCTGTCTATTGTCGGCCGGTCTTTCAGGCAGGGGAGGAGGCGGCCCAGTGTACATGAAGGCTCATGTGCGATGCGAAATGCGAACCCCTTCTTTTTTGAAAACTCGCGCCAACATCTTGCTGGTTCCTTAGACATAATGGGACCGGTACTCGTTTCGGAAGGCTGCCGAGTAATGCTGATTGGGGTTTCCGTATCCTCTGTTGTTCTGTGCGGCAGGTGACTGCTCGTACGAAGTTTTTTGGGTATCCGTTTTTTCTGAGGTCTGCAATTACACGGGCCTCTTCTTTCTTTTGCTCCGTGTCATCGGAGGATATGTTCTTGGCTATCTAAAGTAATGTTGTCACAATCAAGGCCTTGTGGCAGGCGGGATGAAATGAATTATATTGAAGGTAGCGGCCGGTGTGCATTGGCTTCCTGTGAATGGAAAACTCCAAGCCGTCGCAATTTCTTGCCACCTGAGCGTCGAGAAAGGGCAGGCTGCAGTCGCCTTCACACTCTGCCATGAATTGTATGGCTGGGTGCACGGAATGTAGGTGCTGTCTAAAATTTTCAATTTCGAACGTCTTCATGACGCAAAAGCAATCGTCCATATAATGAAGAAAGAGCTTGAGTCACTGCGAGAAGAAGCTGAGTGCTTTCTCTTCTATGTGCTCCATGTTCAGGTTTGCCATTGTGACGGAGATGGAAGCTCCCATCGCGTTTCCACTGTTCTGCCTGAAAATTGTTTTTTTTTGTATGAGAACTACGTACTAGACAGGCAGAATTTCAGTAGATGGCAGAGCTCGTCAACAGCCAAAGGAGTCCTTTCACTCAGGCTTGTGTCACCCTCAAGCGCAGCACGGGCAGAGGGCAGAGAGCTAAGGGCACTGGCACATTTGTGAACAATGATACGATGTCGAACGAGACCAGGCTCTCGTCATTGTCGATGCTCACCTCTGACACTAGCTGCACGAAGTGGCTGGAGTCACGGACATGAGTTGGTGTCTTCCGGGTTAAGGTGGGCGAAGAATTGGTGTAGAAAATTTGAAGGGGCTTGACATGGAGAGGAAGTGAAGTCTACAATTGGTCGAAAGGGGACGTCAAGCGTGTGAATTTTTGGTAGTCTATAGAAACCGGGCACGGATCCATTTTGGCAGATTAGTCGCAGGTAAAGTGTTCTTAGATCTGAGTAATGCTTGAAAATTTCCGGAGTAGCTTGTTTAGTTTGTTTAGCTGCGTCTATGCATCGCCTTCTAAAAGAGCTAAAATCTTTTGATCGTAGTCCCATCTGTCCAGCACCACCGTCAAATTGCCCTTGTCGGCGGTCAAGATGACAATACTCCGATCCCGTCGGAGTTTCCGAAGTGCCTGATTCTCCTCTGAAGTCGAGTTCTTTTTCCTTTGTAACGAAAATTTCGAAAGGATCCCAATTGATTTCAGCCTAATTTCTTCTCCAGCGCTCAGCCTCATGCTCTGGACGGCTTTCTCTACAGCTGCGACCAGTTTCGGTAGATGGTGCGTCGTTGATCGTTATTTTCGTGTATCTTTGCCAGTGCCTTGAAGACGCCGCTGCAACGTAATCCCAGTCGCCCTTGAGGAAGGAACCAAGTTGGTTCTGAAACATCAGGTTTATGCATTTTCACTCACTTTTTGGCTGGAGTTAAAATCGTTTTCCAACTAAACTACAACTACAACGTGTAGTAATATACACAGATTCATTGAGCGTAGTAACAGCTTTGAAAGCTCTGAAGAAACATAAAAATCCTGTCCTTGTGTCACTTTACTTTTTTTTATGCACGGTCTATGCTCTCAAGCGACAATTTGTCATGTGCTGGGTGCCTAGGCACCATGAGATTGGGGGAAATGAGTTGGTGGACCAGCTAGCTGCATCCGCTCAAGACAACACTGCCGCTAATACATCCATAGCTGTACCTGCACTTGACCTAAAGCCTTTTCTACGACGGGAGCTCAGGGCTTGCTGACAGCGCCTATGGGATAGGCAAACGCAAAACAAATTACATGTAATCAAACCGAGACTTGGAAATTGGCCAACATTATCCAGATCACGCTACACACAAGTCACACTTACCAGACTACAAATAGGATGCACACACTCTACACATTCATACCTTTTGTCAGGTGGTGATCCACCATTGTGTGAGAGATGTGGAGAACCACTTACAGTACTCGACATCCTTGTCCAATGCAGTGATTTAGATGCTCTCAGGAAAAAGAACCTTTTATTTCTCTACCGCATACCCTTTCACCCATCAATGTTCACTGGTAGGGAACCACTTTTCACACATAAATCATTGCTGACATTTTTAACAGACGTGCGTACATTTAATGCAGGGGTGCAACAGCTGCACCAATTGTGCCAATTTGATACAATTCCCGATTGTTGCGCCGAGCTGCGCCAAACCTGTGCAATTTGCTGAAATTGCGCCACGTTGCACCAAAATGTCCTGCCAGCCTCAATTTTTTTCAGGTGCGCTAATTTCGGCGAGAAATGCAGGCCACGTCGGCCACCTGCAGCTTGCGCTTTCAGTCAAAGTGTGCAGACCCGAACTACAGTGCTTAGAATATATGCTAGCAAGACGTGATCTACCAGGTAAAGTAACAACACTGCTCGCCCATCGGTCCTTTGACCGCAGCGGATACCTATTGACAGGACGACAGAACTTCCAAGACAAAAATGTGTAAATGTGTTGCTGTAGCTACCAACGCGTAGCGAGAAATGTAAATTTTCTAGCCTGAAAACGCGGCTATGGCTTGTTAAGAACTAAAGCTGGAAGCGTACGCCACAGTTTCCTCGCACGAACAAGCTTGACGTGCTGCGAACGCCGGAGTTGCTAGCAACCATGTTTGGTTGCCTTAGCAGTGGCACATAAAATTTTTTTTTCTTGAAGTTGCATCATCCCTGCCACAGTCCTAGCAATAAATATCCTGTACGGTTGCCTGGCCAACGAGCGCGCGTCGTTACTTTACCTGGTCGAACGCACCTTGCAAGAAAGCCGAAGCGGCACCTAACCTTATGGTGGTTAGAAAATGTCTTGGTTTTGGTTTTAATGTGGCTTGAGCCACATTTGCTGCAGTACACGAGTGCCCTGCGGAAAAGGGTATCGAGATTTAGAAGGGGCTGTTAGCGCTAGTGGAACACTGCACATTTTGCCCAGTTACTAGTGCGTTTGTATGCCGCACAATTCTGAGTACCAGTATAATCACTGACATCTAAATAAGCTAATCGCAATCATTTGAAGCAGTGTATGACATTCCTGCTTCCCTAAAAAAACTAAATTGTGCACCAATTTTTTTTTTTCCACCCCTACTCCTCTGTTTTACGAATCTCTCAAATTTCAAGGTCGCGACCTTGGCAGATTGATATTCAAATTCGCTGAGTTGGCCAAATGATTTGACAGGCGCAGCAAATGCTGATATGGATTTTATCATTGTTTACTCAATGGGGTGGTTCAAAATACTGCTTTCATTGAAATAGCAGTGCTCATGTTGACACTGCATGATTTGGGTGATGTTGAATGGTTTATTGGTATATGTTTTTCTAAATGTAAGTCTTCTCTTTTATACTGCTCCAGATTTGGTATTTCACGATAAAAAAAATGCATGGTTTTTTTGCTCGTAACCTGCCCCTGGAATTTAGTGCTCCAAAAGTAACATTTTACTGCTCCAAACATTGCTCCAAATTGTGTTTCGGCTGTTACACCCCTGTTAATGTCGTATACCCAGGTGCTCCGTAGCGCGACCTTTGAAGAGAGGTCGCTGCTATGGCTACATCCCCACCATTGTTTGACTATCACGATCTTTCGCCATTCACTCACTCTCTCTGCACGTATTTCACGTCACTGTCATTATTTTAATATTTATATGTTTTCGTCCGCGTTAGCGTAGGGTATTTTAAGGCTCTTATACTGCCACCTACCATAATAATCATTTTTTGCATCACTTGTTTTATGACCCGGTGCTCTTTGGCCATCAAATGGCCCTTGTGCCATAAAACACCACACATCATCGAAAACTCTGTCATCAGTTTCACTGTCAAAAGTTATTTATTAACTGAGAAAATTGATTGCAGTTTCATTTTTAAATTTGCACCGTAATTTCCACGCGTGACGTAAGAAATGCCACAATTTATTTTTCGTATTTTCGCAACATTCGATCAATAAAATTTTCTGAAACTTTGTATGCTAAGTCTATGGCACCCACAGATTGCAATGTACTTCAATTTTATCGATTGGATGCTACATAGGAGCCGGTAGACGCCTTCAAAATTTACGACGCGACAGGGTTTGGGGCGAGAATCTCAAGGTGGCATCTCCACGCGCAGTTTCTTTTCACACGTTTTCTTGCTTACCAAGTGTCATGTGGAGGTACGAGTAGTGTTTTCGGGATGGTGAAATTGTACTTTACTAATACGCGAAAAATTTGAGGCGCTATGGTGGTGTGGGGTAGCATAGGTTCTGTAGGGGCATTCACCTCCCTCCCACTCCACAACTCTTTCTAAAAACCAGAAATTTTTTTTTGGTTTGGACGCAAATCACTCACATAAACCACAAGTAACATGCTCACCTTGTCACTAATGCTTTACCACAGTGCACAACTTTCTTGTGAAGCCACTATGTGACATTTCATGTGAACAGCGTGAGCAATGGCTGCTCTCAGACTGTTGATCTTGTCTTGTTAAATTTGGAGCAGCATTTACTGTTTACCCACTATAAAAAATATACACTAAAGAGTTGTAGACTTGTAGGCTGTTGCACTGCTCTAGGGGATCCCAAACTCCGTTTCGTGTACTCCTAGCCTGCTACAATAGACAATTTTTCTTGCTCTGAGACAATATTTTTTTTCCCTAATCCAAACATTGCTGCAAATGCTGAACTGCGTAGACCACCATATAGTTATCTTGAAAGCTGTGTCGCTAACTGATACTTTTTTTTTCCTCTCTTTTGCAGATCTTCAGTTAATCGCTCCAATATGAAGGCTATTTTTCTCATTTTGGTTGGAGCAGTTCTTGTTGCAGGTGTGATGATTTTCATGGTATGTAGTGACTAACTGTCCTGACTTCTCATATGTCGATACATTAGTGTTAAATTGAAGAATGTTTATTTTTAAAACACACTTTTTATACCATGCATGGAATGCCTGGTAATGAGCGGCTGTAATGATATGCAATTTTTGATCAGTATCAGATTTTACAGTACTATGACTCCAATTTCTTGTGTACACTGTGTTTCAAGAAATGTTTCCCAAAATCCTCAAAAGTGAGGGAACTGCAATGTTTGCTTGCTACCATCACAACTACTTTTTCCACAGATGCAGGCATGATAAAGGTCTAGTGGCTAAGGTACTCGGCTGCTGACCCGCAGGTCGCGGGTTCAAATCCCGGCTGCGGCGGCTGCATTTCCGATGGAGGCGGAAATGTTGTAGGCCTGTGTACTCAGATTTGGGTGCACGTTAAAGAACCCCAGGTGGTCGAAATTTCCGGAGCCCTCCATTACGGCGTCTCTCATAATCATATGGTGGTTTTGGGACGTTAAACCCCACATATCAATCAATCAGCTTTTTGCAGATGTCTAATACTTGGCGTTTTGTTGCCATTGTCATTCATAATTTCGTGGTTATTTGCAGCACGTTTGAACTTTATTAAAGTATAAACTTTAACCCTTTTTTGTTCTCTGTGTTTAAAGGTATCTACCATGATGCTGAAGCACAATTCGGGCTATTGGTGGGCATACCTATGTAAGTTGAAATTGCATTTACTTTTTTTTGCAATGAGAGCATCTCATTGTTGGTTTTGGAGGGAGATTGATGAATTTTTATTCAAAATTGTGTTTTTAATATTTGTTTTCTAATTTTATGACATCTTTGTTAAGCTTCATACTGACTAGATTGTCTAAAAAATTATGTTCGTGTTTAGTGGCATCACCTTAATCAAGCACGCTATTTTATATTATGGAGAACATGCCAGAGTTTTGTGTTCTTCACATGTGCCCATGCTTCTTGAAGCCCAGCTTTGAATGTGTATTCTAATGGGAAACTCTTTTTTTCACTTCCTTGCTTTGGGCAGTGTTATATAGTGTACAGTACAACATGCATAGCATCTTAAAACACTTAAAATCCAACATAGGCAATCTCTAGCACAGGAAATGGGTGGATTTGGTTTAGCCAATGTGATTGAAGAGCCAAAGCGATATTCAATACATGTGTTCCTGTGCAAACTGCTTTAAACAAGTCTTTGAATTTGAGTTCTAATGAGGCAAAGTGTACACAGCCTGATCAGCTCTCTGCTTAAATTTGCCCCAAACAGAACTGCAGGCTTTTTTGTACAATTTTGTCTGCAACTGCATAGCCAGAAAACCATAAAGAAATTTAGTTAGTGATGCGTGTGTGTGGGGGGGCAGCTTGTACAAAGGCTCTCATTATGCAACACAAAAGCAGTAGCTTCCAGTTGCCTTGCTATGGTTTTGTCTGCACACATGTACAGTATGGTACACTGTTAAAGGGAACACTCCAATGCACATCATCAATATTCCTGGCCCTCTAAGAGAAAGTGGATTAAGAGACAATCTTCATGCAAGTCAATAGTCTGTCAAAGGGAGTCGGAACTTTTAACCACCAGTAGCCTTATGCATATCTAAGCCGCTATGATTCTGTAAGATAGCGAAATCTAAACATGCTACTCACGCAAGTGTTCCCTTTAACAGTGGACCCGTCTGTACTCGGGTACCTGTGATGAATGAATTGATTTCTTGTACTGTGCTTCAGCAACCGCTTGCCTAAATAATATTTCATGGCATTGTGCCCCCATCTTGAGTGCAGTCTATTAGAGCTCCCATAGCCATTTCACAGAAAAGTTACAGGGCATGGGAGATAGTTTTAAGGAAGAAGGCTCACTGAGGCTAGCTTGGTGGTGCCATGCTTCCTCCTATATATTTATTCTCATAGCTATTCTAGGATGATCAGAAAAATGAAAAATTGCTGTCGGCCTGTAGCATAGATATTTCGTAAAAATATTAAAATCGTAGCTTGGTCCTACTAAAATTTTGGAACAATTATATTTGTAGCATATTGCTGTATACCGAAATATTATTACAGTAAAAGCTTGTTAAGTCAATCATCATTAATTCGGAAAATTTGTACATGTTCTGTGGTTCGAGCAAGTGTATGTAGTATTGTTTAATGGCATCAAACTCTGGCCAATATGATCTCAATTAGCTTCAATTGGGTTTCTTTGGACCATCCCAAAGTGTGCCAAGCATGAAGTGCCCCAAAAATGTGACACAAAGGAGTGATAATGGCATTTCCGAGCAACCAAAACGCATCTCGAACAATCAAAACAGCCGCGAGCCTTCAGAAAAGTTTGGTCACTATCAAAATCTACTATCGTGTTGTTGGTGACCAAGGTTTTAACATCTGCAGCAACTTTGTGTTGTTTTTATTTTAACAAGCATGCGCAAATCACATGGACACCATGTATAATCTTGCTTGTATTGACTGGGGTTAAAGCTATGCCAAGCAGCAGTTTCGTTTATCTTGTGTGCCTTCAGGACTGTGTAGTTACCATCCATGATTGTTCAATAGCGAGCCAGATTTATTCAGCAGCAGATACGGCATTCAGTGGTATAGTTTTGACTCTGTACATAGGCCACACTCATGTTTTGAGAACTGCATGGATGCTACAATCCTGTCTTTAGTAACCACAGTTTCGTCTATAGTGGATGTGACAGCAGCTTCGTTTTGACTGAGGGCAGTGCGCAGGCATTGTCACAAAACTCAAACAGGGTGGAAGGTGTTGAACATCAAGAGCTTTACGGCAGTCTGCATGCTGGGAAAAAACTTGTTGCTAACATTGTGATATATGAAAGATGAACTGCTGGCCATTTTTTCGACAAAGAAACTACCATCACATGCTCGTGGTAGTGTACGTTGGTGGTGGCTGTACATAATAAGGGAAGGGTTCAGTGCATGTTTCGATAAGGGAAGGGTTCAGTGTATGTTTCGGCTTAACTAAGACAAGGGGGCCTTAGGGCACAGGGTAAGGCAAAGTTTGAAAAAAAAAAAAAAAATCACTTTTTTTTTTTTTGCAATTAGGGAGGTGTGTCTCTTTGTGCATATTTTACACATTAGTGCTTTTCTTGGAGAAGTACTTTCTGTGGCTGAAAATTAGTTTTTCCTGAAGAAAGCGGTGAGCAAACACTCATCCCAGGACAAGGTTCTCGTATGTGCTTCAAGCTTACAGTTCATTTTTCTTAATGAAACTTTATGTACAAAAGCCAGAATGCTTGTGTGGAATCAGCTGTGTATAAGAAATTGTTTGGTAACTTCTAAGGCAATCCAAAGACTGTGTTCACTTATTTATTCGCACTTGTTCTTTGGAGCGTGTTTGTTTAAACACTTTCAGCTCCTAGCTTCATTACACTTTGTGTCTGTTGTGCTTGTTGATAAGTTGAGATGCTGAGGGTAAAGGTCTTCAGAAAGCAAAAATTTCATCCCAACTAGTACAGCTCTCTTGCAAATGTGAATAAGTATGAACAACGTATTGAGGTGCTGAACGCCAAATCAGCAAGCTCTTCATTGTTGAACACTTCAGCCTTTTCAGCATCCTTCGAGGCAAATAGCATGCAGGGTTACAACACGTATGCTCTAACGGGCATGAATATTATTTGTGATGAAATTAGACTTAATTGCATGTGCAAACTGTGCGGTGCAGTGTTAATAATGTTAATAATAATGTTTTGGGTTTTACATCTGAAAACCACAATATGTGACGCGTATGAGAAATGCTGTAGTGAAGGGCTTTGTAAATTTTGACCGACTGGTGTTTTTTAATGTGCACTGACATCACACAACACACGGGCCTCTAGCTTTTCGCCTCCATCTAAACGCATCTGCCATGACAGGAATCGAACCTGTGACATTCAGGTCAGCAGCCAAGCACTGTAGTCGCTATGCCACTGTGGAGGGCACGCAGTGCAAGTGTTGAGCTAATGAGAATCGGGTCACAGAGTCTACTAGTTTTGTTTAGGCTTCAGAGTCTTAAGGATTGGGACCTTGGACGTTCTTTCGATTAATGGTGGCAGTATTGCATAAGCCGAAATTCTAAAGTAATTAGGATTGACGCTGGCCAAAATACAGTCAGTCTGCTTGAAAAAGTTACTACAATCGACAATACATTGCAGATAAAGCTCTATGACAGCTTGCAAAAGAGGCCAAGCAAGGAAGACATCAGGCTTGAAAGTAAAAAATTGGCATTGCCTAGGATGATGAGGTCCCTAGCTTCGAAATAATATAGTTGAATGGCATCTGTGGCAAAGAATGTTCCATTTTCTGTCGTTTTTTCACTTTAACTCGAGCACCTCAAGATCAAGTTTTTTGTTACTGAGGTACCGTTATTATTATCTTTTTTTGAATTCCATGATAACTGGCTCTCGTAGTCTTCATATATGCATACAAGTGTACTATAATTGAAATTATGCACTTCACGGTGTTGTGTTACAAATTTTCAAAGGTGCAATTTAATCCAAAATTAACGTTCAGTGTTAAAGAAGTTCACTTCAATTTTAATATTTGTCAGATTTTAATAAATATGGTACAGTTCAAAGAGTGGAAAATACGGAAAAAAATTATATGTAATATGGGAATATCCCTTTTAGTCGCTGAGAAAATGGTACCTTAATATGGCCAAAAATGCATAGCTTATCATGTGCCCCGAAGATGTGGTAAAATTGTGAATGAATTCTTTAATGATGAAAATTGTGGCTTTTATACTGTTATTGTGCAAAATAAGAACTGGATTTACATATTGATTATGAAAATGAAAATGCATTGATGTAATAAAAGCTAGTTTAATGTTTTCTTCATACTATGAATAATTCAATGATGCTATCAATGTTTTCCCCCCAAAAAGTGTATTTTTTAATGCTGAATTAAATTCTTCACACAAATTTATTTAGGAAAAAAAAAAGTCTAAATAAAACAGTTTTGGGTGCTAAGTGATGAAAACATCATTTGCTGTTACGTACACATGGTTTATGTGTAAGAGCAAGATAAATTAGATATAAAAAAAATGTATACGACTGTTAAAAAATTATGCATTGAAATAACATCTGTGCAGTTCCAAGACGTACAAAAACAAGTGCACGAAGTGATGTTAAGTGGAAACGTGGAGGAGGAAAGCGATTTTTGATCAAGTCAGCATCGTCTTGCTACACACGCTTTTGATATGTCGCTCGCTCATTTATTTTATAACTTGTTCGGTTGGTACTTTTCAGTCACTGGTCATTTAGCTGGTTAGCTTACTGCATAAAAAAACCAGCAGTTGCTTCTTGGGCTGTGTACTGCTGTGCTCTGTGTCCTTTGCGCTACTTGAATACATGAGACACCACACTACTAGTCAGCAGCAACATTGCTGATCCCAAGTAAAGCCAGAACATACTGTTTTTTTGTGGTTGTCACAGTGCCTCAAGGTAGGTTACTGGAATAGGTTATTGATGTGCAACTCGTCAGTCCTGTTGGTTTTGGGGAAAAAAAAGTGAGATGGTATCTTAGCTTTGTGTGTAGTGGTAATCCATATGTCAGTACATGAAACATTTTAAATAGATGATGCTAAATGTTGATTAGATATTGAAACAAAGAAAAAAATATGGCAGTTAGTTCCTGTCTAACCTGATGCATTCACATCTACCACCCCATCCCCTTGTATGTTCTTTGATCTCTCCTAGTGGGGCTTGCCTTGGCTGAGGTCTTCATTTTTTATGGCCTTTGGCTGCTCTTAATGAAGAAAAGCACAGTTGAAGTGCGATAACAAGCAGGCCTACCACACTGACCAAACAAGGTGAGCCAGTGCCTCTTCCTTCCACATACGCTTAAGATGAAATATTTTGCACCGATTACTCTTGTTTATGTTCTGGTACTAGAATAAAGTTAACAAAAAGGAAATAAGCGAGACATTTTCTCCCTTCTGTGATTTTATGGTGAAACACTGGCACTGTTAATGTTGATGATAAAATATGTAGAAGGGCTGCAACCACTCATTCCTGTGTCTCTGCTATGCTGCATGATATATTTGTTTTCTGCCGTCAATATTTTTGGGAATGTTCACTACTTAGTAGTTAGAAATGTTTGAAAACAATGTGGGTCAGTAAAATTTTCAGCACAGTGGTGTGCTGTGTAATGTAGATAAAACAGTAAAAATGTTCCTATTCTGAAATTCATTAAAAAAGTACAGGGAGAAAATTTCGTCATAACAAATTTTAATAAATTATATTTATTTGCATATGTGCATCATAAACACACCCCCAACTTTGCTTTTCAAATATAGGATTTATTGCAATTTAAATTAGATAAACCCTCAAAGTGAATTTTCGCTCTCACTGTGAGATTTTATGTAAAGGCCAAAGATGATGACAACACTATGCGTGTCTTATATGTGCAAGTAAAAGCATGTGAGGGCAGCTGGTGATTGAAGCTCAGGCAGAAATAAAACACACCTGGCTGTTCTTTCTTGCTAAAGGCCCATGATGGGTCCCATATGGGGGCTGTGTGTGTTTTGCAGGAACTTCGTACCTTGATCGGTCAGGCACAGTTGTGTGTGCTCTCTCTTAACAGGGATCAAAAGATGGCCGATATCTTTGTACATTATGTCTTCTCACAGCTCAGTTTGCATGAAGTGATAGCATGAAGAGTGCTTCACCTGCTGCAGCAGCCGTGTTTCCTTTTGTCGATGTTTTGTTGAGTTGTGCCAGGTGAGACACTGAGTTCGCTGCTAGCCTTACTTTGCAAAACATTTGTTTCTTGCTATTGGATTCATTGTTTGGACCTTGTTTAATGTTGTGAGTTGTTATTTTGTAACTCTAACTTTAGCTTACTATTACAAGTGTTTTCTCCAACTTAGTGTCTATGCAGTATCATGTACAAACAGTTACTATGTAGTTTTTTTTAGTTCACAAGCTCAGCTAATGTTAGCGCATGCCACCAAGCGCCATTTATGAGTGGAACAATTCACAGTTTTTGTTGAGTTGCCAGAGATAACTATTCAAAACACATTGACATAGATGTTAACTGTTGATATGTGTATTAGCCTTACTTTTAAAGTCATGGGTATCAATGGTTGTCGAGCCATTTGTTAAATTTTGCCTTTATTTTAAACTTGGCACTGTCACCTCCCTGCATCACGATTTTAGGCCTTCATTCTGATATGAATTGACTTCACTATTTCATTATTTAGAAACTGATGAACCAAATGCTATTCCTACCTGGTGCAAGTTGCTAGTGGGCAGCCATTTTTAGAGCCTAATCTAGTCACCTAAAAAAAGTGTAAGGCGTGCTTTATGTTGGGCACTCCAAAAGCTTTTTTTTTTTTCTCTGCTGGTTTAAACACGACTTTCAGTGCACTTGGTTTGACAATCAAAGAGGAAAATTTATGAAAAAAGTGTGGACTGCGTGCCTCAAGTGTAGTCAGTGGAAACATTTGCCATTTTCATCACAGTCAGGTCTCATTATTTGCCAGACTCTCCTGAATGTGAGCGATCCTCCCGATTGTACGAGTATGGTCATATACCTCCTAAGAGCAGCCCTGACCCTGCCCTAAAAGAAATAAGGAAGAACAGCGGTTCTAGAATTTTTTGGCCTTGTTCAATCATGTGCAGAATGCTTTTGCTACAGTACACTAGTGTGATGCGAAAAAGAATAGTATAAAATTGGAAAGGAGTGACTAGCTGTCTGAGGACATAGCACACCTTGTTCCTTTCAAACACTTGCATGTACTATACAATTTACGAGGACTAGTATGATCACTCACATTAATTTTTTTTATTTACTGGCCATTATTCAGAGCTGTTTATGACTTTGTTGCTATCATGAGAAACAATAATAAAAAAACATATGCCAGTTTTGTTTTTTTTCACTCCCCTTCTTCCGCCTGCTTCATGAATCCTGTGAATTTCGAGATCCCCATATTGGCAGGTATGAATTTGACAGACACTGCAGATGTTAATGTGGGCAACACAATTGTTTGCACTGTGGGGTGGAGCCCAGTTCAACGAAATGCTTTTGTTTAAGTAGCAGAGCTCACAAACTCAAGTTAATGTGTTGTATGTATGCAGCAAAATTTCATTACTATGTATACCCATTTCAAGTGTACTCAGGATTAAAATTTGGTGCTATACCAAGCGCATTTACTTACCGCTTGAGTCATGCTGGTTTTTCCAGTAGAGGATAAATGCGTTCCTCAACTTTCAATGAGGCCGACCACGCATGTAGTGCAAAAAACTTCCTACTTTTTTGTGAAGCGTAGATTGATTGACGAGTGACTTTGACTATAGTATACTTGTGTGGTGACCTCGTTAATGGTAAGCATGGGAAAGCATAAAGGCATAATATAGCGGGCACCAGTGGGTGTGCCAGAGCGACTTATTGTTGACAACCCTGTCATTATAAGCAGCTACCTGCTCAGTAGCACATGTGGCATAGTGCTATTGGCGATGCTATAAACGTACTGCACATGTTCAATGAACGATAAGCATGCCATTCACTGCCACCTCTTTGTGCGGGACCACCAAGTGTACATGATGATAACACATAGCGCACGTCGCTTGCAGTAACTTAGCAGCTCGTCATTGGCGCATTGGCCCAACAAGATCTTCTAAGCGTTTGGATCGACCTGCTTTGCTGATTGGTATAAAATCAGTTCACCTTTGGGTTTCTGCAGAATTCATTGGTCACTTTAGATGCCCAGCTAAAGTATGTTGGACTGGTGTTGAATGGTTTGTATAAATTTTTATTTTCTGTTCAAAAAGTGAGCTTTCTTTATTATATTCTTCAAATTTGGAATTTGGTGCTCAAAAATCTCATGTTTTTTTGTGTAAAGTTCTCCAAACTTTGATTTTTGTGATCCAAAAGCAACATTTTCCACCTCCAAAAGTTGCTTCAAAAGCTGCTCTAAATCTTATTTTGGCTATTGCAACCCTGTATATATTTGACTTTTTGATATTAACTCAGTCTGTGGAGCATGCTACAAACTTAGCAAGTGCTTTTTTTTTTCCAGTTCTAGAGGAGGAACTCCAGAATTGTCGCCTCCACAATGCCTATCAGCGACGTAACTACTGCATTAACTTGTAGCATTCTCAAGATATTTATTGTCAGTGTTGGAGAAGCATGTGAATAAAGTTTCGTATTTTATTGCTCTGTCTGGCTGAAATGCATGCATTTTATTGTATCACTGTAGAAACTTGTTGCCTTTGCTGAGCTATCCTTTAAGGGGCTCTGCAATGCTTTTCCAGCACAGTCGGAAAACACTGCTGATTCACTGTCGAAGCTCTTGAGACTACGTGAGTGAACCATAGCGAAACATAGCTCAGAACGTGGCCTGGAATTTACAATTCTCGGTCAGTTAGAAATCGTTCCGTCATCTCTCAACAAATGATATCATAAGCTCTGGTGACCGCACCTGAAACCCAAAGCCCACAGCCATTGGCCGACTTGAATACCGTGAGCTCAAAATGACTTCAGGCACCATGGAATGTCGCCACAGGCTTGCACGTACACTTGCTGTCACACTGAAGGTGAGCTGCACGCTCAACGAAAACAAGTAAAAGTTCTCAAGGTCATGACGTGTGCTGACAAATGGATGAATCTTAAAGGCCCCCTTGTCATCCCCCCTCATTGCATAGTTTTCCATGCACTAGCTGGTACAAAAGGATAGAAAAAGCGCTTGTGGTGTGCGACGAATCCCTGCAACTCTACTCGTACTTGTCAGATTCAAAATATTAGCAAGGCAGTCAATTCATAAGGCAGCAAGCTCTTTAAATGAAGCCATTTGATAATTACTTTGAAAAATATTGCTTGGGCTGTGATTTGGTTATATGGTACCATTTTTTGTGCCAGGAGGAATTGATTTTTAGCTGACTTAAAAAGGTAATTGCGAATTTCAGGTCGCATGCCGCCCTATTATTAGGGCTCCGTGTTTTCAGAGTTTATTTTTCTTGAATGTTGAGTGTTTTTTACTTTTTTTTGCTCCTTCAAGAAATTCGGTGTTCATCAGGATTAATTCCTTGTAAATCTGCAATTGAAAAGTGAACGAAAAGATAACTTGTTCCTTTCAGGGGCTGAATCTGCGATCTTCGAATAATTCATCTGATGCTCTACTAACTGAGCTAATGCGGTGGCCATTACCTCGTTCACTTTATGGGTCATATATGTCCATTTAAATGTGGTACCGTGTAGTCGGCACTACTACTAGTCGTGACTATTGTGGAACACTCTTTTTCCGCCTGCTAGCGTCACATAGCGTGTCATCTTATTACAAGATGGCAGCTAACCAATAAATAATCCATCACATACCATCTGAAAGCATCCATGTCTGCCAGGACGAGACCCTTGTTACAAATGAAGGAAAGTGGAATTATTTATGTGAAGGGCTCATTTTTGTTAAATACAATTTTAATGAGAACTGGTAATAATGCCAAGAAAAACACTGGATGTTATCAGTAGTAATGTAAATGTGAAGAAACATGAATGAAAAGATAACTTGCCGAGGGAAGGGACCGAACCTGTGAGTTACGACCTTCAAATGTGTCGGATGTTCCTCCACCAACTGAGCTACTGCGGCAGCCATCCCTGCAGCCACTTTGCACATGTTTGAAACATGTGCATTTAAAAGTAGGAGCGTCGGTTAGCACCGCTAGTAGCCATGACGAGCAGTGTGGAACACACTTTTTTCTTCCTGTGGGCATTGTGTAGCATGTGATCTTATTACGAGCGGGCAGGTAAGCAATAATCTCTCGCAGAATGAGGCCCTCGCTGCGAATCAAGGAAAGACTTGGAAATTTATTTGTTAGACACATTATTCATGAGAACTAATAGACAATAATGCCAGGGAAAGTACAGGGGTGCCCTTAGTAATTGTAATGTAAATGTGAATTTTTTTTACTGAAATTTCGGTACTTGAATGCGAGTGTTGTCACAATCTGATTACAAAGAATGTGTGTGTCGGCCACATTGGTTCAACAAAATTTGTTAAAACTTGCACTGCCATGTTTCTCATTTCATTTTTCATTCACTTTTACCTGTGAAATTCTGAATGTGCTGCAAATGCTTTCAAAACCTATGACATCACAGCGTGTTGATGTGAGGACTTGTATTTTAACATTGCATGTTTTCTCGTTTACCAATCTTCTAGTGACAAAAGTAGTGCTTTTGGCAATGGGTAACCAGGCTTTGCAGAACTGTCAACTTAACATAATCTGTTTTATTTAAGGGTACCAAGACTAAATTCCTGTCTGCATAGATTTATCGTCCCGCCGCGCTGGTCTAGTTGCTAAAGTGCTCGGCTGTAGACCCAGAGGTTGCGGGATCGAATCATAGCTGCATTTTCGATGGAGGCGAAAATGCTGTAGGCCCGTGTGCTCAGGTTTGGGTGCACGTTAAAGAACCCCAGGTGGTCGAAATTTCCAGAGCCCTCTACTATGGCGTCTCTCATAATCATACGGTAGTTTTGGAAAGTTAAACCCCACATATCCATCATTACATAGATTTATGTCTCTGTGGCTCTATCGCCAAAGAGGCTCGTTCTCTACTTCAGAGTTGCATGAACAATATGGGTCCGATGGGTCATCTTTCGTATCTATGCAACTGAATCGTTTATAAATCGGCGTTCACATCTTGCCGGGCCACGACTCAATTGCGTTTCTTCTCTCCGCTAGGCTGTACATTTCTGGCGCTGCAGTCGCATGGGAGAATGCTGCACATAGCTTTCGAGGCTGTAGACTGCCCACTGCGCAAAAGGTAACGCAAGGTGAGGAAAACTAGAAGACAGAAAATAGCGTCACTTGCAACCGCGTTTGTTTTCTCCGCCTTGCGTCTTTACCTTTTGCACAGTATGAACCAACTAAACCATAGAGTTTCATAATAATAACTATTGTATGAAATTCTATGAACTAAACCAACCTGTTTTATTAGACTACTCTTGTTTCACGGAGGCCTAACTGATGCCACTGTTTTTTAAAAATAATTATTTACCTCGATTTATGAATTTTTGCTTGTAGCTAAAATAATATGTAATAAAATGAATTTTCAAATTACAATTTTTAATTTTTTTTGGCAGGCAGCGCCACCTGTTTAGGCATTTCCTCAGTCGGCTGCAAAGTCGACCGTTAGCCGTCGGGCTGGTTGAGCTGCCGCATTGAGCCAAATCGGCGTGCGTAAAATTGTGTTGTCATTGCCTACTCGGTGAGGAGCGTTGTTCAGTGCAGCTCAAGTTTGAATCATGGGCACTGCACGATACGACCGGGCAATCACAGTATTTTCCCCTGATGGTCATCTTTTTCAAGTCGAGTACGCTCAGGAAGCCGTAAAAAAAGGTTCTACAGCGGTAAGCGTTTTCCATCCCCTTGCCGCGTTTTCTTGTATATCTAGCGTTAACGGTATTAAAAAGTGGCATCTTAACGATGAAGTTTGATCGAAACAGGAGTCACAGCTAAAATGTAAAGTTATAGAAATGAGTATAAATTTGTACATCACATGTTTTGAAACGTCAGCGTTTCATTTTTTTTCCGCCTAACTCTTCCAGGTTGGCATTAAAGGTACAAATATAGTTGTTCTTGCCGTGGAAAAAAAATCCGTGGCGAAATTACAGGAGGAGAGGACAGTGCGGAAGATCTGTCTTCTAGATGACCATGTTGTCATGGCCTTTGCAGGTAAACATTTTTGTATCATGGTGCGCCCCTGAAATAGTAGTAAAGGCATGGTGGCTTGAACTGTTGTTCATCTATCTGTAAAGGACTTACCGCCGACGCAAGAATACTGATTGACCGAGCTAGAGTGGAATGTCAGAGCCACAAACTGACAGTAGAAGATCCCGTGACACTGGAGTACATCACCCGCTACATCGCGCAGTTGAAACAGGTATGCTTGTTTCACATTTCTTTTATCGCTTTCGACTAGTGGCAACGTTGTAAACAGGTGTGCGCATTTTCCTGTGCCAATAATTTATTGTCAGATTGAGCACTGCTGTATTGCCACAGCCTCATTTCGTGCGAAAATTGTGTATGAAGGTTGGTAGGCGGTCTATTTGGTATATAGTCATAATGAAATATTTGGAGCGCAAGCTAACGGTGCGCAAAGCGCTCATTTGTCTCCTCCTTTGCGTCCCTTTAGTTTGCGCTCCCAATATTTCATTATGATTATATGTGTATTTTTGTTTATTTTTTTTCTTGAAATACAGCCATTTTTTGGCACTACCAATGTAGTACCTGATGTTCGTTACTGATACTGTGGTTCTGTGTTTAAACAAGGGTAATCAAAAGGGCAATATTACTGCTTAGGAGTGTTAATAGATGGGCAAAATACTGATTAAAACATGCCAAAAGTTTACGCTGAAAGTGTGCGAACATGAGTATGTTGGTACATGTTCATAATAGAAAACGGGGAGATACAATTAAGACAAGACCAAGCAGGACCAGCGCTTTTATGCTGAAATGCATAAGCCCTCATGAAAATATCTCATGTTGAGTGACAACTTTTTCATTAAGCCAAAAGTTTCACAGCATGTCCGGAAGACATTTTAAGCTGCACATTAATGCTGGTATGGATTTTCTTTTTTGGCAAAAACTTAGACCCATGCAGTATAATTTTTTTTATTCTGAATGGTTCATAATGTGGTTGTTCTAAATTACAATATTAGGACAAATCTGATAGGTAGCTGAACTCTTCACATGCTTTGCACTAATACTGTGGACAAGCAGCTGAGAAAATAGACTTCATTATCTGAAGACCTGTGGAAAATAGGCTAATCTGATGAAATTTTTTTACCATTACTGGATAGATAGATGGATGTATATGGCTGTGTCCTCTAAATCGGGTGGTGGTTCGCGCCACCTAGCCATAAAGTTATGTACTGTCACCATGCATTGAAGGATTAAATTTCACTCGCACCTTGATTTAGCCACCAATCAGTTAGCCTCCTCCTGGTTATTTCTACCTGTTTAAAGCCTATGTTGCCTTCACTGCCCCTAAACCCCAATGCCTTGCAAAATTCAAGCACCATTGTTGGGGCTATAGGGCGGAGCCCTTTACAGAACATTATTGAATGTTCAGCTCTTTCCTCCTCTCCGCATGCACTGCATAACGTGTCTGGGCCCTCGTATTTGGCTCGGTACATCTTGGTCCGCAATACTCCCATTCTGGCCTCAAACAGTAGAG